CGCTCAAAAACTGAAAAAATTATGATAATTCCCCTCAGTCGTGATGTTGACGAAAACATATCTTCTGTCGTGCCCAAACATTCAATATTTTCCTTTCATTCTGTTGCAGTTTAAGCGAATGCTACTTTGCGGGAAAAGGAGCAGCGCTGATACTCCCCCCGACTGAACGTGCAAGACCATCCCGTCGTGTCTCAGCAGCAGGATGCGACATACAGCAGCATCTCCAGTCAATGTTTTGGCTGCTGCGGCCCGAGGAAACCCTCAAAATGGTGAGCTACAATTTCCCCTTCAACGATATAACAGCCCGTCGCTTAAATAGTTGGAATCAACGTTCACCCTGTTACAAAATTCAATTTTGGCGACTATTCAGACATGACAATCACTCCTCAACAGATCTCCACTCAATTCACCCCCTCAAGGTGTTTTGCATTCACGTAATCAACGAAATCGCTGTCTTATCGGCTCCAACATCTGTAACCGACTCCAAGCTGTTTTGCAAAGCAAATATTTTAGCTCGAGGTAGTTGGAATAATTGCCCGAGTAGCACAATTATTATGAAATTCAGGAGTGTCCAGAAGTATTACTCAATCTCCACCAAATTCTTATTTCATTATTGACAACTGGTCAATAGTCAAAATTGACTTGTATTGACCCCGGCCGATAGAACAAGCTTATGGGTCGATGCACAAGAGAAAATTAATAGGATCGCGCGCTTCCGTTCCAGAAATGCGTGAAAATTTCAAATTTCGAAAGGAAGATTGTCTGGTCCAATGAATTTATGATTGATTGATTGACGCCGGTGCTACTGAATCATTTCCGTTTGGATTTCTCTCGGCCAGAGAATGCCCCAACGAACAGATTCAGCCCGAGTGCATTAGAATCAGATGAAATCAGCGGCGAACCTGTGAAACGGTTCAAATCAATTTCGACTATTGATCAGTTCTCAGTGGATATCTCGGAATCTTAGGCCGATAGCAAAATTTTCGGTAGAATCTTTTTTGCTGAGGGAATCGAAAGCTACAAAAAAGGTCCTCATGAAAATTTTGCTATCTCCCTCAGGTTCGGCGATATTCCTCGAAAATTCAGCTAAGAGCTAAGTCGACTTGGTTTTATCGCTTCGCTTTTGAAATGTGTGACTCGAATAAACGTTTATAAATTAAATTATGAGTGATATTGAAGCCATCTCTATCTAGTTGTCCTCATTTACCTGGACTAGATCACCCCAATTCATCAGTGAAAATATAACCCACGCGATGAATCACTCAACCAAGAATTCCAATTCCCCCCGATAAATTTTTTTCCCCTCCCATTTTCAATGAATTATCCTCGTGAAAGTGTCGCAACGTAATCCTTCGCGCTCATCGCCCGAGACGAGGCGAATGAAAGTGAGTAGATTTACACCGGCGAACCTCGAGAGAAAAATCCCCCCAGTGAAACTGCCAGATCATATGTTTCTATTCCACATTTTTTTCTAATGACATATCGTACTGCGACAGGACAACAAATTAGAGAACATTAACCAAGACATCGCCATCAGCTGGAATTCCGCAATTAAAATTATGACTTTTCATTAAGGAAAGGGGAGTCTAGCCGAGAGAAATCGAAACGGAAATGATTTAGAAGCTTTGGCTTCAATCAATCAATGATAAATTCACGACATAATGAGTCCAATTTCATTGAAATTGAATTACAACTGTGACTTGGATAAACGATTTCACTGAATGGAATTTGAAGAGCACGTGGATATTTATTAATTAATGTTTATTAAATTGAAATGGGGCATGAGATAAATTACACGTTGAAACGTCAAAATGAAGAAAAAGAATGAATGAAGAGAATTGAGTGATGCTAACTCCAGAGGAGAGGCTTGGAGGAACGGAAATGATGAATTCACGATGAAATGAAATTGGAAAAATTGAGGATTCGTAACGATATTCATAAATATCCCAGAATTACTGTTATTAGGCTTCAACGCAACAAATGTCGAACTTGCACCTTTCAAACGATATATGAATGATATCAATGTCCATAAGTTCTATTCAATACAGTGCTGGATTATCGGTAACGTTTTGAAATGCCAAGGAATATCGGATATCGATTCTCGACTCGCTGTAAGGATTCTGCGGTTTGTAAAACCCACTGGTGGCTGAGGAAAACGAGGCCAAATGTCTATTCCTTTCTCAATACACGTGCACATCCCAATCTTTCAAAACCACCGAGGATTCAACCTATTCTACCCCCGACTATGAAAAATTAGAAACGTGAAAGTCACTCGGTGAACGTAATCCTTTATTCTGAGTATTTTTACGGTGTCTCGGGAGTTGAGGGATTGTGATGTTCATTACAGCGTCTGTTGAGGCTATTTTTAGTGCATTACAAATTACTGGAACTACTGGAAGTAGTGTAAAATAGCATTCTCCATTTTCTTTCACGATTTCACTATTTAAAGGTACATGGAATTGAATTATTATTTCTCCCAATGAAGAACTGAATTATTATACTCTGTGGTATATTCTGATGGGGGCGAAATCCCAATTAATGATGAATAATCGTGTCAACTCGGGGGTCTTTCATTACGAAAATATTTTAATAATTGAGTGAAATAATTTCTGAAAATTTCGATCAATCATTTCAAACAGGATTTTCCTCGATCGATCTATTTAAATGCTATTTCGTCAGTTTAGTTTGTTTGTTTTTCTCTCAGTTTTTCTGATCCAATCCTCTTCGGCACTTCTATCATTCAAGGAAGTGAAATAATTTCAACCTGCATCCCTCCATTTCAAACAATTTAAATACGACTTTATCCACGATCTCTCACGAAACCAAAACGGCAATTAGTATTTTCTCCAATCTCTAATCTCCTTAATGAAACCCATAACCCCGACTAAAAATCATCTCCATTCGGCCTGAATAAACAGGTTTCCCCGCATTAATCTACAACTTCTGAATTCCCCCCTGTCTAAATATAAATTTCCTCTAATTGGGTTAAAATCCAGTTCACCCGAGGATTCCTCCCATCAGTAGATTCCACCTGCGATACTCGGCGCGGTAGATTGCCATTTCTGCGCTTTTGAAATACCCTTTTGTATATTTTTTTCTTCTTTTCGTCTCAAACGCAGGTTGATCCAGGCGCAAGTTTTTTTTATTGGCACAGGCCTCTCCCGAGAGCAGCGGCTTGTTGTTGGACCGGTTGGCCTCCGTCCGTTCATTGGACCCTGATCGATGCCTCTTGCCTTTTCCTAGATACTTTACCTCACCATACCCATCATCATCATCATCATCCTCATCCTCATCCTCTCCCTCATCTTTATCAGATTCAAATGATTTTTTTTTCTCTCGTTGTTTTTTTATTCAAGACGCTTTATGCACAGGATGTGCGTAACACGCATGAAATTTATTATTAGTTCAGCCAGGTTCTTGTGATACGTTTAGATTAAATTTTATGACAATGGAAATGAGCTCAGGAGATTTCTCTTTTATTCATTGCTCCACCAATCGTGCGTAAACTATTACAAATATTGAGAGATAAATAATTTCATGGCTTTTCATTCATTCAAATCAGATGAGAATTTTTCTTTTTATTTTTTTGTGGAATAAAGTTTCACCCGCACATCCGCATTGATGATTTTATAAGGCCGGATACGACTTTATGACCAAACATTAATGAATGATTTTTTTTGTAGAAAAGAGAAACTTTTTTTTAGGAAGAAAATGTTTTTTTTGTTTACATTCGCGAGGAAATTGCTGTTACGCCCTTTTAGAAGTTATGAGAAATGTGATTTTTATTGTGATTTTTCAGCCAATTAGGATAATTCTGATTTTTGTTGTTAATGCGCATTGTGGTAATCTCAAGATTAGGAGTAAATCGCAATCTCAGTCGGCATTTTGTTATTTAATTAAAACGGATGATTCGATTAGACTGCAATTTTATTATTCCGAAGCAGTCGCGGCAGAATGCACTTGGACTATTGAAAGACGTAGGCGGGTGACCCCATTGAGGCGCTGGAAAATAGGTTCCACATGGGTAAATAATTTTTTTTTTCCTCCTGCATTAATAAACGCATCCCATACGTATGACTCTATTGTTATTTATCGAGACTCATCTTTTGTCTTTTGTCTATCACTTCAATGTGAAGTAGGTGGCTCGGGTTGTGGGATTTGGATCGGGAAAATTGTTCATTGGACGCGTAACTGTGAAAATTCAATTGTTTGAAATTATCAAAATTGTTATAATCTATTTGAATAATTTTTTGAAATTATTTCGTATTATTATTTATTCTCCCCCAGAATTTTTTTATTCTACTTTTATTCTTTGGTTTTCTACTTCAAGACTGATGCCACTTTCATTGTCAATGTTGCGTAAAGTGGAAGCCCCTTGCTTAGATTTCTGGCTACCGTCATAATAAACTCTCAGTGACAAAAGATCTGATACTTGCCAAATTTATAAATAAAAATGCGGAGATCATTCCAAAATACTATATTTGGTGAACAATTGCTGGGAAAAATACCATTTGAATTACTATTTTAAATATTCGTGACTGATTACAGTTTTGCAGTCATCAAACATCATGAATAAAATAGTATTTAAGTATTTTGAATCGAAGAAATACTATTTCAAATAATTTCTATTTTCAACTGATGAAATAGTATTTAAATAGTTCGATTGACGAAAATACAGTTTGAAATAATTCACCGAAGTTTTTTATAATTAGTTCATTTCATTATTCAAATTTGAATAATAAAAATGTTGAAGGGGATTTCAACAGAAAATGGGCCAAAGTGAGAAATTCATAAATCGATTGATAATTAAACATTGAGTGAACGAATGTCGTCAGCCTTTTTGAATATTCTCTCAGGAAGTTTATTATTCAACTTTTATTCTTTATTTTTGTACTTCAAGACTGATGCCACTTTTATTGGCAGCCTCGCGTAAATTGGAAGCCCCTTGTTTAGCTTCCTGGCTTCCATCTTCATGAACTCGTAGTGACAAAAGATTTGATACGTGACAAATGTAAAAATAAAAATGCGGAGATCATTCCAAAATACTAAATTTGGGGAACGATTGCTTTTACTGAATATTTCTCTCCGTGCATGTACATTAAAATCTTGAAATAAAATATTAAATTTCCATTTAATTCTCATGAAATAGTCTCCAACTCAGTCGAGTGTTACTATTACCCGTCTCAATGACGCGTATCACGAAAATAGGTCTCTCGGTGAAGATCATGTCGTTCCATTATCCTTAACAATAACGACCACTCGAGACTTGTGGGCGAATTGCTTTCTTCTTCGTGGCACGTGTGGGCGTTGGCGGTTCACTTCCGTTTCGTGTAAAAATCAAATGGGGTGGGGGCAGTAAAAATAATACATCCTCGATGATCGTAACGTCACCGATGTCCCGCAATTTGACAACAGTGGCCTATTTCGAGGCCATCAAAATGCTGTTTGAGAAGAAAACGGAAAGTATGTTAATGCCTCGCAACGTTTTACTGCTCCCCATGCGGATTTTTTTTTTTGGCGGTGCGAATGGTTATTTCAAGTGTGTGTCGTGTGGGCAATTACAATGGCTAACGGTTTCCAGTGGCGGAGGTTAAGGGAACTGGAGGTGAGACATTGACATGTTTACTCTGGGCGGGCGGTAACGAGATTATACGGATCGTGCGTTCTAATTTTAAAAAAATTGAAATTTTAATAAAAAAATTGCCAATTGAAATTTTCGAAGAAAAACAAGTTGAAAGTTTCGAAATGCAGCTGCAAGTGTATTTTGACTAATTTTTTAGTCGAAAAAAAAATCTTGAAAAATCACAAAAAATAAATTTGTAAAAACATCGCAATTTTTCGAAAATTTCAGTAAAAAAAACTTCCAATTGAAATTTTCAAAGAAACCCAATTTTTTGTTTAAGAAGAACAAGTTTAAAATTTCGAAATGCAGCTCCAAGTGTAACTTGACCAATTTTTTCTTCAAAAAAAAAGAATCTTGAAAAATCAGAAAAAATAAATTTTAGAAAAGACCGCAATTTTTCAAAAATTTCAATGAAAAAATTAATTTTCAAAGATAAAGAAATTCCACACTCTCGGCGATGTTTTGAATTTTCATCGCTTCCAGTTGTTCAAAACATTTAAGACGTGTTCTATCATTTAGCCAGCGTAGCTGGTAACGGTCGTTAATCAGTCCCTGCGACGCAAAAGTTGTTCGGCCACTGATGATTAACGGGTAACGTCGATATTTATATGCATAGAAAAACGCATCTGTTGATACTGCTCACACACACAGTGACTTTGGACCCTTACTAGTTGCTAACGTGGAGATCATTGCACTCGTTGAAACGAGACTAAATGGAGCAGCAACCGAGATAATCTTCTACAATGATTTTTCATCCAAAAAAAAAATCCTCAGAAGGTTCTGATTATTTGTATGATACATTTTCACACTTACGCCCTTTTATTGTCGACAATTTTGAACCCTTGCAATACGATAACTTCATATTTTCCTCATTTCCTGCTAAAACTGGAGATGTAAAAAAAAACTTTGACTTCATAACAAAACGGCACTTATGCCCTTATTGTAATTTATTTCTAAAAAAAAACTTGAGAATTTTCGAGATAATCCTAGAATGTTCTAGAATTTCGATAGATGGCGCGACTGTCGATAAGGGACCCTAAGGACTTTTTCCCTGAATGCCCCCGCCCCCATAATGAAAGCATAAACGTATCCACGTCAAAAATTATCGTGACACAATTAATACTAAGAATTTAAATATTACAAAAAGGTCACTTAATCCTTTTTCATTCTGAGTTCTTACGCCCTTATGACATTCAAAAAATCGTCATTATGACACGATTAATACTAAAAATTTCCATTTTACAACATCGCAATTTACGCCTTTTTCATATTAAGGCATTTTTTAAACTACTTACGCCCTTATGACATTCAAAAAATTGTCATTATGACACGATTAATACTAAAAATTTCAATTTTGAATAAACGTAACTTACGCCCTTCTCACATTAAGGAATTCATTTGAAAAAACTCACTTACGCCCTTATGTCATTTAAAGAATCATCGTCCTGATACAAATAATACTTACGCCCTTTTGCGACCTACCTGTTAAACTCTCAACATTGTATCTCAACATTGTGAGTCGCGCGAACTAAAGAAGATAGTTCAACATCTGCTTCAGATCCCCTTACGTAATTCACCGTCAGTATCAATTTCTGCTTTTCACCAATGTATCTCCACGATTCTGTAGACTTTCAATGCGGAACAAGGAAGCTGCAATCCTCCCGAAGAAAGAAGAACGAAGAGTAAAAAAAAAATTACAGCAAACATTGCCAATGCTATGTCATTATAAAAAACCATTATGCTTGATTAATAACATAATACTGGATTTATCGTTAAACACTGTTACGTGAATTGATTTCCTCTTGAAGTAGATATAAAAAAAAATTGGTTGCAGCGATAAAACATCAAATAAACAGGGCAGACCAGGAAATCCTGTCGAAGCAAATGACTTCCTGCGACAATATAATTTTTTCTTTGGTTGGTGTTTTTTTTTTCGCTAGTCTTTCACTTTTTACGCTAACCTTAATTGCTTCGCGGATTAAACTATCATTTTATGTAATGATGATGGTTGGGGAGATTGAGGTAATCGGGTTCATTTTTTTTATTCTTCCTTATGAATTTTTGTATGACTGAGTGTTTATTTGTTCGCTTGGAGAGGGAAAATTTAGAGAGTTGGGTAATGCGCACCTTCAGGGAGAGTTGACGTGAGGGTCAGAATATTTCAAAATTTGACATTGATGAGGGCAGAGTATTTCATTTTTGAATTTGTGAGGGTCAATTGAGAGTTAATTAAGCTTGAATAATGATTGGTAAGGGTCAAAATCATTTATTTGAGGCAGATGAGGGTCTATCCAGGGTTGATAAGGATCAGTGAGGGTCAATTGAAGTTCCTAATTTTTTATTAAGAGCCACTTTAGCCTTAATAGGGGTCAATTCAGAGTTAGTAAGGGCCAATTAGAGTTGTTAATTCATTTATCAAGGCTCGATTTAGCCGTTATAAAGGTAAAAATAGATGACTATTATATATATTCGAGGTAGATGAGTGTTAATTCAGGGTTGGTAAGGGTCAATTGAAGTTTTCAGTTCCCCTATTGACCCCCACATTTATTTACCGTACTTTAAGCAGGGTCTATAAGAGTTTATATAGACCCTATATTGGAGACGGAAAAGAGTCTACGGTTGATAAGGATCATCGAGGGTCAATTAAAGTTTTCGACGATTCGGCCCCTAAAAAATTAAAGTTGACCCTCACGAGGGTCAAAACCCACTCAACATGTCGTCAAGGGTCAATGAGGGTCAATTTGGGGCAAATACGGGTCAATAAGGGTCAATCTAGGATGAGTAAAAGTCAATGTAGGGTGAACAAAGGCCAATCTAGGGTTAATAAAGTTGAAAAAAGGGTCAAAATGGTCACATTAAGACGGTTCGGCGCCTAAAAATTGAAACTGACCCCCACGAGTGTCAAAATTCACTCGACACATTATCTCATTGCCAATAAAAATCACAAATTTCATTATAGCGAAACAATACTTTTTTCTCGCCTAAATTGAAAACAAATAGTTCCAATAATTTCAAATAATTTCCCAACAAACTTTCTTTCTCAAAATTAATTAAGCATTATAAATTTTATGTTACAGGCTGTTAAATTGGAATCCGTTCATCCGGGAAGAACGCGTTACCTTGTCGTTGTTTCATGCAATGGTAACCAGGATGCAGAGGAGAGCTGCCTCCTTGGTATTGATTGTCATGCACAGGCGACCGTTGGGCTCGTTCTACGAGTGCTCGCCGACACGGCTATAACCCTCGACGGTGACGGGTCAGTTGATTATTATTATTTTTTTCATTCCACTACGTTCCAATATCTTTTATTATATCATGAGATAGCGTAATCTGGTGATTTCATGTTAAATAATGGAGAAATTTCAATCCAGTGATATAAGAGAATTAATCAATTGCTCATCTCTGAAGTAATTTTTTTCATTTATTTTTAATTCTAAAAAATCAAACATTTAAAATGAAAAAAAAAAAGATGAAAAGAAATTTTTTTTGAAGAAAAAGTTGACAAACAAATTTTTTTTCATCAAAATCCATTTTAGTTATTTTCTCGATAATAAGTATCTCAATGAAGACGATTTTTTTTCTCACTCCATTGGAAATTTCTTTTACTGTTCGATGCGTCATCAATCATTCGAGATATGCGACTACTTCTCGAGATAATCTCTCTTTTATTAAAAATTCATGAGCCGTTGTTCTCGGAGTGAGTGAAGAGGAGGAAAGGAAAAAAATGTGAATAATCGGTGCCAGGCAGTCTGCAAATTACGAGCGTTAAGACGGACGGATCAAAAGGCGCGCGGGGGGGGGGGGCGGGGAGG